GCCCCAAGTGGCCCTGATTGCCCCAAGTGGCCCTGATCGCCCACAAGTGGTCCTGATCGCCAACAAGTGGCCCTGATTGCCCCCACATAGTGTCCTTGTTTGCCCCCACAAGTGTCCCTGATTGCCCCAAAGTGGCCCTGATTGCCCCAAGTGGCCCTGATCGCCCACAAGTGGTCCTGATCGCCCACAAGTGGCCCTGATTGCCCACAAGTGGCCCTGATCGCCCAACAAGTGGCCCAGCAGTGTCCCTGATTGTCAGTGTCCCTGATCACCACATAGTGGCCCAGCAGTGTTCCTGATCGCCACAGTGTCCCTGATCGTCACAGTATCCCTGATCGCCGCAGTGGCCAAGCAGTGTCCCTGATCGTCACACAAGTGGCCCAGCAGTATCGCCACAGTGGCCAAGCAGTGTCCCTGATTGCCACACAAGTGGCCCAGAAGTGTCCCTGATTGCCGCAGTGACCCAGCAGTGTCCCTGATCACCGCAGTGTCCCTGATTGCCGCACAAGTGGTCCAGCAGTGTCCCTGATCGCCGCAGTGGCCCAGCAGTGTCCCTGATCAGCGCAGTGTCCCTGATTGCCGCACAAGTGGTCCAGCAGTGTTCCTGATCATCACAGTGTCCCTGATTGCCGCACAAGTGGTCCAGCAGTGTCCCTGATTGCCGCAGTGTCCCTGATTGCCGCAGTGGCCCAGCAGTATCCCTGATCGCCACACAAGTGGCCCAGCAGTGTCCCTGATCGCCGCACAAGTAACCCAGCATTGTCCCCGATTGCCGCACAAGTGGTCCAGCAGTGTCCCTGATCACCACAGTGGCCCAGCAGTGTCCCTGATCACCGCAGTGTCCCTGATTGCCGCACAAGTGGTCCAGCAGTGTCCCTGATCGCTGCAGTGGCCCTGATTGCTGCAGTGGCCCAGCAGTGTCCCTGACCACCACACAAGTGGCCCAGCAGTGTCCCTGATCACCGCATTGGCCCAGCAGTGTTCCTGATCACCACACAAGTGGCCCAGCAGTGTCCCTGATCACCCACATTGGCCCAGCAGTGTTCCTGATCACCACACAATTGGCCCAGCAGTGTCCCTGATCCCCACATTGGCCCAGCAGTGTCACCTGATGGCCCAGCAGTGTCCCTGATCGCCGGATAAGTGGTCCAGCAGTGCCCCTGATCACCGAAGTGTCCCTGATCACCGCAGTAGTCCAGCAGTGTTTCTGATTGCCACACAAGTGGCCCAGCAGTGTCCTGATCATCGCAGTGGCCCAGCAGTGTCCCTGATCGCCGCAGAAGTGGTCCAGCAGTGTCCCTGATCGCCGCATTGGCCCAGCAGTGTCCCTGATCACCGCAGTGTCCCCGATTGCTGCACAAGTGGTCCAGCAGTGTCCCTGATCACCGCAGTGTCCCTGATTGCCGCAGTGGCCCAGATCACCACACAAGTGGCCCAGCAGTGTCCCCTGATCACCACACAAGTGGCCAGCAGTGTCCCTGATCGCCGGACAAATGGTCCAGCAGTGCCCCTGATCACCGCAGTGTCCCTGATCACCGCAGTTGCCCAGCAGTGTTTCTGATCGCCACACAAGTGGCCCAGCAGTGTCCTGATCATCGCAGTGGCCAAGCAGTGTCCATGGTCGCCGCACAAGTGGTCCAGCAGTTTCCCTGATCGCCACAGTGTCCCTGATTGCCACAGTGTCCCTGATCGCCACACAAGTGGCCCAGCAGTGTCCCTGATCACCGCAGTGGCCCAGCAGTGTCCCTGATCACCATACAGTGGCCCAATCAGTGTCCCTGATCACCTTACAGTGTGCCTGTTCATAAAGTGTCCCTGATCTCTCCCACACCAGTGGATCCTGTTCACTGCCATCGTCTGTGAGGAGAGAGATCCAGTACAGCTAACTGTGAGTAATTTTCAGCCTTTGCACAGAGTTTACACACACTCACAAAACATTGCCAGCCACCTCACTGTATCTCTGATTTTGCCCAACAGTGACTAGTGTGAACCAACTGCAGCCAGATATCTGTCCCTCACTGCAACACCATCCTGATCACTGCCATACCAGTGGGTCCTGATCAGTGTCAAAAATATGGCCAAAAGATCATATACAAGCGAGGAGGCATTTCAAATTCTGAGTATGACAGATGAGAGTGACGGAGAACTTAAAGCATACCTTGGGGTGTTTGCTTTCCAAAATGGGGTCTTTTTGTGGATAATTCCATTGTCCTGATGCTCCAGGACCTCCAAAACAGCAATAGGTAGTTAAGAAATTAGATGTGCGATCTTTGCCCTTAGAATGCTAACAGGTGCTTATTGGATGTGGAACCCCTCTATGTGGCCAGACTGTGAAAAAGTCTCACACATTTGGTATCACCATATTCAGGAAGAGTTAGAGAATGTGTTTTTGGGGTGTAATTTTAAGTATGCCTATGCAGTGTATTAGAAATATCTCATAGATTGACAACTTTGTGTAGAAAAAAATACATTTTCATTTTCTTTTCGCATTTTCCAAAAACTTGTGGCAAAAAATGAAGTCTTCAGAAGACTCTGCATGCCTCTTAAAACATACCTTGGGGTTTTGCTTTACAAAATGGGGTCATTTTGTGGATAATTCCATTGCCCTGATGCTCCAGGACCTCCAAAACGGCAATAGGTAGTCAAGAAATTAGATGTGTAATTTTTGCCCTTAGAACGCTAACAGGTGCTTATTGGATGTGGAACCCCTCTATGTGGCCAGACTGTGAAAAAGTCTCACACATTTGGTATCGCCATATTCAGCAGGAGTTAAAGAATGCGTTTTGAGGTATCATTTTAAGTATGCCTATGCTGTGTAATAGAAATATCTCATAGATTGACAACTTTGCGTAAAAAAAAATACATTTTCATTTTCTTTTCACATTTTCCAAAAACGTGGCAAAAAATGAAGTCTTCAGAGGACTCCCCATGCCTCTTAAAACATACCTTGAGGTGTTTTCTTTCGAAAATGGGGTCATGTTGTGGGTAATTCAATTGTCCTGGTGTTCCAGGACCTCCAAAACTGTGATAGACAGTCAAGAAATTAGATGTGTAATTTTTGCCCCTAGAACGCCTAAGGCTGCTTATTGGATGTGGGGCCCTTCTATGTGGTTAGGCTGTGAAAAAGTTTTACACATGTGGTATCGCCATACTCAGGATGAGTAGCAGAATGTGTTTTGGGGTGTAATTGCAAGTATGCCTATGCCGTGTGAGAGAAAGAACTTCTTAAATGACAACTTTGTGGGAAAAAAAAATTCACAATGTGAGAGCGCCGAAAGCTGAAAATTGGCCTGGACAGGAAGGGGGTAAAAGTGTCCGGACAGGAAGTGGTTAAAATGGCAACCAAAACCTAAAAGACGTGGAAGAAAGCGAAAAACTACCATTCAAATGGATAGAAGAATAGCCAAAAATGGCAAGGACTCAGCCAACAATCAGCTCCAGGCAAAAAAATAAAAACACCCCAGTGAAGATCAAAGAAGGTCTAAAGTTACCTGTGAGTACTGTTACAATTAGAAGACGCCTATGTGAAGCCAAGCTATCTGCAAGAAGCACCCGCAAAGTCCCACTGTTGAAAAAAAGACGTGCTGAAGAGGTTATAATTTGCCAAAGAGCACATTGACTGGCCTAAAGAGAAATGGCGCAACATTTTGTGGACTGATGAAAGTAAGATTGTTCTTTTTGGGTCTAGTGGCCGGAGACAGTTTGTCAGACGACCCCCAAACACTGAATTCAAGCCACAGTACACTCTGAAGACAGTGAAGCATGGTTGCGCAAGCATCATAATATGGGGATGTTTCTCATACTACGGTGTTGGGCCTATTTATCGCATACCAGGGATCATGTATCAGTTTGAATACATCAGAATACTTGAAGAGGTCATGCTGCCTTATGCTGAAGAGGAAATGCCCTTGAAATGGGTGTTCCAACAAGACAACGACCCCAAACACACCAGTAAACGTGCAACATCTTGGTTCCAGACCAACAAGATTGACATTATGGAGTGGCCAGCCCAATCCCCGGATCTTAATCCAATAGAAAACTTGTGGGGTGACATCAAAAATGCAGTTTCTGAGGCAAAACCAAGAAATAGAGAAGAACTGTGGAATGTAGTCCAATCATCCTGGGCTGGAATACCTGTTCACAGGTGCCAGAAGTTGGTTGACTCCATGCAACACAGATGTACAGCAGTTCTCAGAAACAGTGCTTATACAACTAAATATTAATTAAGTGATTCAAAGGAAAGCAAAATCTTCAAACATTTTTCAGTTTATATAGTGAATGTTTGAGTTTGTAAAGAAGAATACAAACACTGCTATTTTTTTGAACAGTCTAATATTCACTTTTCTTCAATTTTTTTAGAGGAACAACACAGATTTGATATATTTTTCTTCATGTTTTGATTTGGAATAGAATGTGCAGTGTTCCCAATGCATTTGTGTGTATGGAAATAAAAGCTATTAGAAGGACTTTGAGCTGTATTCACTTTTTTCAACACACTGCTATTATTTTGAACACAACTGTAAGTGTGTATGTTTAAACAAAAAAAAAGATTAAGCCTAATATGTGAATATTAATTTCCAGCTCAGGGAAGAAACTTTGATCTGGAGCAGCAGGGATGCAGCCTGGGTTATAAAGCGTTATAAATGCACATAAATGAAAAAATAGCAATTCTAGCTTAACTCAGGCTATTGTGGAACTGTAGACAGCAGTGGTCAGGTTCATACAAATTCCAACCTTTCTGCCAGAGCAGCTGTGTCCCCTTCCTCAGTCTGCACTGAGCAGCTGCCCCCCCAGTCACATCTGGACAGTTGGCAGGAAAGGTACCTAGCACAAGGCTAGTGCGGGGGACGGAGAGCATCATGTGGTGTGTGGAGGGGAACCCTGTGACATCACAGCCTGATTTCCATATAAATCATCAGCAGAGGGAGGGTCTCCCCAGCCCATGGTGTGTGTCTAGTGGGGAATATTTAAAGGGATGGGGAGGGACAGAGCAGATGGAGGCGAGCATCTGTCACAGAGAAGACCCAGGCAGAAGACAGGGCTTTGGTGTCAGAGCCAGGGGGAGAACACTAAGCAATACAGGTAGGTGGCACAGATATATTACAGAAGCAAATGTAGTGAGTGCCAATTGGTGTTTGCAGGGCTTGCTGTGTAATCCTTGAGTTAATCTGATTTTACAAATCACCGTAGACTAAGTCTACACATTCTATGCATGCATAGTTTTAGATCAACCTAAACCTGATCAGTATAGATCATTTAAAACATCACATGCAATAGTGTAGAAAAGACACTTTAAAGTTAAAGGATGCGCCTTGGGTAAGGAAGGGGTTAACGACTGCCAGTCGTTCTAGGCGATGTGATTATTCAGTATATCTCTGGGAAGGAGATGTATGTGACAAAAGCATAAATTGGAGCAATTTTTTTTTTCCCAGGCATCATGGCTGATCAGCATTGTTGGGTTTTGTGACATAGAAATAGTTTGCAACTCTAATAGCAGGGATTAGTGCCAGACTATTGTAAAGACTGGCATGATGATCTATATAATATCACCATTAGAACTGATAGATCCCCACAGCTGGAAATGTATTAAACACTGTAATCGTTGGATGTCTAGCGTGGAAGGGAGTAGCTGCCTAATAGACTGTAATGTGCTCAGGCAACGAAGAAGTTAATGGTGGCAATTATTATTGCACGATCTGTTCAAAGACTGTGCCTTTCATCAATGCTTTTGCCATAGGAGATGTGCATGTCAATAAGCCTAGCAATGGTATGCAGGGAGCTCCCAGGATAACGATAGTTTTAGTCAATGCTGGTGGCAAAGAATCAATCCACCAGTTTGCAGATTCCATAGAGGAAACTGGTCCTCGTATATTCTATTAGCCGACTCTCCTGAAGGAGCCAAGGCGGATGCAGAGCCACATTACAATCTGACAATATAATCATTGTACAATCAACTTTAGATATACCAATAGTATGAAATATGAGGATCTACCCAATCAGCCTGTATCCACTTTAACAGGCACCTACACCACATACTTGTTGGTTGATCTAAAGGAAATCGTACAATCAGATTGCAACGTATGTGGTGAGCTTAAGGTGCAACTCTTGCTAACTTTTAGACACCATGTAGTTGATGACAAGTCATAGGTATCAGCTTCCTTCTATTGTTGAGACGAAAGCCAGACATTTGATTAAATGGCTCAGTTGCACAGCTGACAGTGCTGCTGTTGCTGCTGCAGAGATGTCACATGCACAGAACACGTTGCCTTGGCAGGTGCCCATCCTTAGCATAATTGGTTATTGAAATAAGACCATTCAAGGACTTTGGATGGACCCTGATCACCTTAGAAGTATGATGCCCGCTATATGTTGTGACTTTTATACTGAAAGGTAAGGTAGGAAGAACAATCCACATTTAAAAAAAATGTAAAATGTTTAATATTTTAAAATTATTTTTAAGTTATTTTTTATTATTATACACAATCTATATAGTGCCATTAATTAGCACAGCATTTACAAGAGATATGGTATAGTTACAATACAATTCAAGATAAGAGAGCTAGGAGGGCCCTGGTCGTGAGAGCTTAGAATCTAATGGGGAGCAGCATATCATCTAAATTTGGGTTTATACATTGCACATTTTTATACTCGTGAAGAATCCAGAGAATATCAAATAATAAGTATTATTCAAGTATTTAATGAGTATTTAAAATCTCATTCCCTAAAAAATAGGGGGACAGAAACTGTCTTACCAAAAAGTATGTTCTTCAACAGTAATTGCATTAAAAATAAAAATAAAATAAAATCACATCCTTTGTTACAATTACTTGTATCACTAATAGAATGGTTTCATAACACATTTTAATTGACTGTTTAATGGATGCCCAGCATCAAAAACAGCAAATCTTATGCAACTGTACCATTACAAAATATTGTATTTCTGAAGTCAAATGATGCTTTCCTCTAAATAGATACCCACTAAATTTATAGGATTGGAGTATGTAATCTCTGTTTGTCCTGGATACTGATTGGAGATCATCCTGGATTAAACGGAGGCAGAAGTGTGATTATATAATTCTATGGTATTACGGGAATAGTGAGGAATAGTTAGTCTGTACATTATTAGCAAAGCGCACAATATTCCTTACAGTGTGCAGTTATCAGGGTAGTTTTTTTTTTTTTTTCAAGTTTTGAACATCTAAAACTAGGATTTACGATAATAGCATTTTTTAAGGTCAATGTGCATAAAATATCTTTTTGACATACTAGCCTATTAGAGTTCCCCACCCACTGTTTTCTCAAAGATAATAACATCCCGTGGGTGGGAAAGTGAAAATATAATAAAAGATACCTTTGATCTAGTAAATTAATGTATTTTAGTGAAAAGTGTATTCTGATAACTGTATGCAGTTAATAGATATATAAACAGCCCAAAATGTCAAGTCCTGAACTGCCAGCCAGGGGCGGACTGACCATTCGAGCACTCGGGCACTGCCCGAGGGCCTGGGGTCAGTAGGGGGCCCCATGAAATGCTCCTGGTACCTTGTATAGGCTTTTTTGTGTGTGCTTTGAGTTTGGGCAAGGACACAGGGGCCCCATGATCCCCTATTGCCCGGGGGCCCCATGAGTTGTCAGTACGCCCCTGCTGCCAGTCAAACCTTAAGAATTACTTTCTACCAGTTGCCCCACCCAACCCCTACCCTGCCCCGCCCCTAATTCTGCCCCTAAACACGCCCTTGTAAATTATCTCATGAAATGACTGTTAAATGTTTTATGCAGAATAAAGTTACAAAAATAAACATTAACAACAACTTTAACAATATTAACATAAAGAAATGTAAACATAAAAGGAAAATACTGTAAGTGCTTTACATCAATAGGGAAACCAAATATTAAGAGTAACTGCTCAAACCTTTTATAAACTTAGATTTTTTTCATCTTTACAATCACATGTAAGAGGCTTTCTCTAAGTGCAAGTGTGGCATTAAGGGAAAACAAAGCAGAGATTCCTTTGATGCCTGTGACGCTTAGTGCAAAGGTCAGTGGTGTAACACAGAAAGAACATTGACTTACAGTGCACACTTCATCTGATTCAGGTGCCCTGTTCCTCTCCTGGTGGTGGTAGTGGTGGGGGGGATGTGCAACAATGTTGTGTCCATGTACCATGTAGGTGAAGTCTCCAGGAGACTCGTGCTTTAAAAATTGCAAATGCAGCCAATAGCAGCTCTGCAGCCTTCCTCCTATAGCCTATAGCAAGAAAGCTGAAGGTGGCCGCGGAGAAGCCCGAATAGTAAATGGGCTGACAGCCGATTAGTCTTCTTCTCCACTTCTACAGCTACAGAGCGGGGAGAGAGGGGAAACTGTCAACAGCAGTCGCCTCTGCTAAAGCGGTGAACTTTCTTAATGTTTCCTTCCTGTATTCTTTATTGGTGCTGCCAGCGGTGCCCGTCCCCCCTCTGATGCAGCGCCTGGGACACAGTCATCCCCGCGTTGTTGCCACTCGCCAAATACAAGCAGGCTAGTGGAAATTTTGAAGGAAATTTTTAGCAATTGCTATTTTTGCTGATTAATAATTTGATCAGCAAATAGCTCTGGTGAGTTTACCCATTTCATTCGGTGGTGGATTTTGGTGGATTTTTTCAATCACTTATATTGGTGTTTGGACTTATATATGAATTACGGACATTTATAGATATATTTTTTATTTTACTTATGTATTTATTTGCATTTTCATGTGATTTGGTATTAACGCATTCCTTTATATATTTTTTGTCACTTACCTTTTCTTTGGTTAGGTTTGCAGCTTTATATATAATTTATTGGCGCTGTGTCTATATATTTTACTTTTGTATTATATGTATGCATTCTGTCCATATATCTCCTTTATATTTCACATTCCTTTATATTTTTATGAACATTGACATGCAGACCAAACTGTCCAGCAAAAACGACAGGGGCTGGGGACTAACAATCCCCATGTGGAGGTGCTTCTTGTATTAACATTTTTATTTCCAAATTTTATTTTTTTTAAACTGTTGCTGCAACTGCTTAACACCCCAGAACTGTATAGTTTATGCCAACCCCCGCCAACCCTGGCTGAACAGCTTGGCACGGTTATCAGTGTGGAGAAACATAAGGCATGTGAAATAAGCAAGTATACTCAACACAGTCATGAATAAAAATCTCCAAACTTTTGTTTCAGGTGACAACAAAATATTGTTCCAGTGGTGATACAAAACATCGACGTGGTCTTTAGAAAATTTGAAATGTGTACCAAGGTTTTATTGTAGCCCAGTGGGTTTCATTATGTAACCCCCAAATGAGAACAGATGTCAATAACAAAAGATGTTTATAGATTCTTAGCTGTCACCTTAGAGTTGTCACTCATTTCAAGATGCTTTTGTACTGATCTTTGCTAGATGTCAGCTTCCAGTGTGAGTAACAGTTGTGCTAAATATCTTCCACTGTAAATTATTTGCCTGATTAAGACCCAAATTTCATGACATTTTTTTGTAACCTTTCCCAGCTTCAACAACTCTTCTTGGATCGGGGTATATCACACTTCAACTGAATTCTGTTGTGAAAAGTAGGTAAACCAAAATGTGTTTTTTTGTGTAGTTTCTTAAATAAGGCTATGCATTATTACGACAAAGATTAAGATCACATCTTGCATAAAGGCAGAAAAAAAGAGTTCTGCATCTTTTCCAGATAACAGTACGAAACATAAAATCAACCTTTTTCCATGATATTTTTAAAGGGTAACTCCACTTTTGTGGAGAAATGCAAATAAAAAAAAATAATATATCATATAAAATTCCTACAGAATCCAATTTACTATTATTAAAAATTACCTTTCCTTTTTAATTTGCAATTTTTTTTTATAAAGTTTAATGCAATATGGCAACCTGAGGAACTTATTTTATTTATTTATTTCAGGTACTTATATAGCGCTGTCAATTTACACAGCACTTTACATATATATATTATACATTCACATCAGTCCCTAACCCTCAAGGGGTGTACAATCTAAGGTCCCTAACTTACATTCATACATATACTAAGGTCAATTTAGACAGGATCCAATTAACTTACCAGCATTTCTTTGGAGTGTGGGAGGAAACCGGAGTACCCAGAGGAAACCCACGCAGGCACAGGGAGAACATGCAAACTCCAGGCAAGTGGTGCCGTGGCTGGGATTTGAACCAACGACACTAGTACTGCCAGGCGGAAGTGCTAACCATTTAGCCACTGTGCTGCCCAAGGAACTTCCCCAGAAATGTAATTTCCTGCTTGTGAAAAGATTGTAGGCACTCCCTGCAATAGAAATGTAAGTTTTAGTAAGATACTTTCCAAGGATTATGGATGCAGACCCTGCAACTTTCCTCATTTGAACGCAGAAGGTGCATTACATAATTAATAACGAGCCAGTCACTCCCATTCAAAATGAGTATGCGATCAACCTGGTTAAACAAAGGTAGAAATATGCTGCACAATTTGTAAAATCCCTGCAAATACATTAATCACTCAGAGGGGCTTGTTTTTTCTTAACAAAAGTAGAGTTAATCTTTAAGTATTTTCATTAATTTATCTAAGTAGAACCAGCTTCATGCCACATATAACTTGGAAAACATTGGTTGGGGACCAGTGCAGTATACGGTATATTATCCGCTTTAATGCCATCAATTATGCTATTAACTTTTAACTATTTGAATATTTTATATGCTATTATGCAACTCTTGACTTACTCCTGTGGTCAAAAACCCAGGCCCACTTACTCTCATGCTCCCCATAACTGTAGTGGACTTTAAGATTTAGAGCCACTTAAAGTGGAATTTTAGTCAGAAAATTAATTCTTGCCAGTTCACTTCAGACTGGCCCCTTTTGCAGGTATAGCTACTGTATGTAAAACAATAATAAGTGCCTATAATGTTTAAAATCCATTAATACATTGTCTCACCCTGCTCTGCACATGCTCAGTTGCTCTCTATTTTTAGGCATTTTTAGGCACTGTGCCGAATTTGTAGAGGCCGATCTGCTGACAGTCTAAAGAATAAAGCGGAATTAAAACCTATCAATGTAACAGTTTCAAAAAACGGTTACATTCCCAGCACATGCCAGAAATGCTAACTGTCACATGTGCTTGTGTTCTCAGCCAAACTGTCAGATCATCAAATGAATGACTGCTGTTATAACTGATCATATGTGGCTCTCCATGGCAGTTGAAGATCAAATAGATGGCAGCTTTTTTGGCTGTAAGAGCTTGTTCACACCATGGTGCAGAAAAACTGATGAGAAGATTTCATTTGCAAATATATCAGTTTACATCAGTTTACCTGCGTACTTTAGGCTAGGTTCACATCTATGCAGTTTGTGTGTGATCCATTTCTGCAGTGTGTTTTTGTGGTGCATTTGTTCACATGCATTTTTTACACTTTTTTGATACGTCTTGCATTTTTATGGTGGGTTTTTTGCCAACTTGTTGCTGGGCAGATTAAAATGCAACAAAAATGCATAAAAAATGCACTACATGCATTTCTGCAGTGTCTCCATTGAAGTCTACTAAACCAAAACACAACAGTTTGCGTTTAAAATAGTCCCTTTCCAAAAAATTCACCAGGTGAAAACGCGGAGATGTGAACATGTCCCATAGGAAATCATATTAAATGGACTGTAGTGCATTTCTGCAAAATGCAAAACGCACTGAAAAACACTTGGGTGTGAGCCTAGACTTAGTGAGTTTTATACATGTTGCAGAAAAAATCTGCACTCGATACTAGTGTTGTGGTGTGAACAGGACACATAGAGAACATTTGATTTTGTTGTACCCTTGCAGAACCCGTGCAGAAAAACTGATGTCTCTGCACCATGGTGTGAACAAGCCCTTAAGGATAGGAGAGTTTACTTTTGCTTTAAATGCTGCTCAGGTATCTGGGCTTCAACAAAATGTCAGCCTCCAGTAAAAAAAAGGAATATCGCTGGAGACAATTTACAGCACACACTAATTTTGGTAGCATAATTATTAATGTGGAATGTATGTTCCTTTGCTAAAGAACATTATTTTTTGTCAATTGTTATGAGTGAAGTTCCACTTTAAAGCATGAAACTATTTAAGTTTTGGAGCATGCTTTTATGTTTTTAATTTTGACATGCTACCATGTTTTTAAGTATGGGTTTACTAACTGTGTTATGCTACTAATGATTTGTTTTATAGCCACTGCCATGACACTAAACAAAATAGAGAAGCTGGGGGGTCTGCGGCAACATCGGGCAAGTCTTCCAATTTCTGTAGACTCACACCGGCGTGGCAGTATGCCCCTGCCTTACAAACACCAACTCAGACGTGCACAAGCTGTTGATGAGCTTGACTGGCCAAGTGTCCATTCAGGGTCATCTGACTCTGTAAGGTCCTCAGACAGTAATCCAGAACCCGGAGCCTACAAAGTCATGTTGGTTGGTGACACTGGAGTAGGAAAGACAACTCTTGCTGGGATATTTGGAGGCCTAAAAGATACTTTCCCGCATGAATCTGAACATCCAGGTGATTTCTGGGCAATGTTATTAGGGTGTGGGTTAAATGTATGTTCTTGACCTGATATGATTGTGAACAGATCTTCTTGTCATTTCCAGAGGATACATATGAAATAGATCTGATGGTAGATGGAGAAAAGACAACATTAATTGTATATGATATCTGGGAGCAGGTAAGAATTTTTGCAAAGATCCAATATTCTTATTTTAATTACTTTATAAACGGTTACTTTTGGGACATGAAATTCGGTTTATGTAAATCCTTAAAATGTTGCAGTCTAATTTCAGAAAAACAATAAATTCGGTTTATGTAAATACTTAAAATGTTGCAGTCTAATTTCAGAAAAACAATAAATTCGGTTTATGTAAATCCTTAAAATGTGCAGTCTAATTTCAGAAAAACAATAAATTCGGTTTATGTAAATACTTAAAATGTTGCAGTCTAATTTCAGAAAAACAATAAATTCGGTTTATGTAAATCCTTAAAATGTTGCAGTCTAATTTCAGAAAAATAATGCTGGCTGTGAGCTTACCATACCACAGATCAACGTACATATGTGCCAACACAATGAGTCATCAAAGTCATTGGAAGAAGTTTTTTTTTTATTGAAGAATGATCACATCACTAAGAGAAAGGTGCAGGAACCCTTCATCAGGCATGTGATGTCACACACGCCCAGGGGCGGACTGACAATTCATGGGGCCCCCGGGCAATAGGGGATCATGGGGCCCCTGTGTCCTCGCCCACACTCAAATCACACCCAAAAAAGCCTATGAAAGGTACCAAGGAGATCTCATGGGGCCCCCTACTGACCCCAGGCCCTCGGGCAGTGCCCGAGTTCCCCAATGGTCAGTCCGCCCCTGCACACGCCTGATGAAGGGGTGTTGTGTGGCTCCGAAACGTCGCACTATCCTCTTTGTGATGTGACGTTATTCAGCAAAAAAAAAAAAAAGCTTCTTCCAATGATTTTGATGATCTGCAGTGTGCTGGCAAATATGTACAATGATCTGTGGTGGTTCCAGGTTCCTGCTGAATGTTGCTAGAGCACTTACTACTCCTAAGCCAGATCCAGGAACGTGTGCGATGGATGGATTAACGATATCTTACCATATCACAATTGCAATGTTCTCTTTTAGTCATGGTGGTCTTTGTCTTCTCAGTCAGGTCCTAACACTTGGATGCAAGACAGCTGTCTACAAATGGGGGATGCCTTCCTTCTAATCTATTCAGTGACAGACAGAAGTAGCTTTCAACATCTACCTGGTCTTCTTTTGAAACTGCGCACTGCTCGTCCACACCGCCACATTCCAGTGATTCTTGTTGGCAATAAGGGAGATCTAGCTCGCTCCAGAGAGGTCAGCATGGAAGGTATTGACTAGCAGAGTTCACATAAATACCCATTAGCCAAGAAGAGAACATGTGTGTACAATAAGGGTGTTTTGCAAAATCCCAGTATAGAATTTGGTGGGGTTACATAATATTTGAGCTATGAGAACATCACATAGTAGTGCTCCAACACCCCTTAGTAAAATACTACTAGCAGCAGTATCAGCTCCCAGAGCAGGGCTGGGTTTAGTGATCTGTCAGAACATGTCCAGTTTCGATGACATAAGAAGCCAAAATAATACATTTGATTCATCTGGCTGCAAAGACAGTGGGCATCCCTAACTAGTGCAAAACTAGCTTTGCTATCAGAATGTATAGGACCACTGCATTTGCTCATATAAAGTACATGAGATATACATTTGATGACTGTCTGATACCTTTAACATCAAAAGATTTGGGTGTGGGGCCATTTACTGATAAAAAAAAGATCACAGCAACCTCCAACATCGACAGATAAAAAAAAGCTGTGTTTCATAAAAAAGTGTATAGCACATGCATGATTGTTGGATTTTTTTATTTGTACATTAGGAGGAAAATGATGTTGAATTACTTGTAAAGCACCAACTATTTAAAGTCACACCACCTGTCTACCAGTCCCGCGTCATGTTCTTTCCCAACAAAACAATGTTGCTGCCTTGACACCCAAGAGCTGTCCACACACTGTGGATTCAATTTCCTAATGCCAAATAGGCTGTTTACTTGTAAGGGAATTTTTCCTTAGCTTAGTGAATGTGGCAAAGGTTCAGTTTGCAAACATTATCCAATCATGTGCAAGGGAAATAAAAAAAAAATCTGTATTTTTATTTGTATATGACTAGATGATGAAAGTCATTAAAGCTTCACTTCATTCACTAAGCTAAGTGAACAGCCTATTTTTCTTTAGTAAATGACCCCCTGTGTGTAAGGCAAGCCATAGATGATGCGATTTTCTTTCTCCTGATGTTGATGGTGGAATCCCTTCTGCGGAGGAGAACACAATAATTATTGCTAGCGTCTATAGCCGCTGGCAATAATGGCATGCTAGAAATCTGATATGCTGGTTGTACCCAAGTCGATCGATGGATACAATCGGCCTATCCATAGATGGATCAAATCTACTATGGCTGGCTTAAGGAAAAGGCTCATGAGAGATGTAGTTCTAGGGATGTGCAAAGCAGCTGTTCCTGCATAAAAAAATTCCAAGCCTGGTGATGTCACAGGATATAATAAAAGCCGTTTCTCGGTATAGGAACAAGGTTAAAGAAAAAAGGGTGGGGCATGTTGTAGAGGGCTAATTCTTCATAAGACCTCATTGAATAGCTGAATGATGTGCCCTTTAACTTGTATCTATTAAGCTATATTTGTACTGACAATTAGCACCATTGCGAATGATGTTTCAGCCACCTGTGAGCAGCTAGCTGCATCCGCCGAGCCCTGTACACTTCAATGACAATTGGGAAGCAACCTCAGCTATCTCTGGCTGTCTACCCAGCCAGCAATTACCTGCGGTGAACGCTGTTGTGTGCTTCCAGGTAATTGCTGGCTGAGTGTACAGCCACGGGTAGATGCGACTGCCGATGTCCTGTCAAGTGTACAGGGCTAGGCAGCCGCAACTAGCTGCTTATAGGTTGCTGAAACAGATGCTGGAATCAGCAGTTTCCTTCCACTGTCATTTGCACAAACGATAGTTGCCTGCGTGAATGTAGCAGAGGAACTGAATAAAGCACTTGAGTTTCAAACGTAGTCTCTGCTTTTTTTTAGGAAAGTGGCCTAGTGGTTAGGACTTCTGCCTTGTGCTTTTGTAGTAATGGGGTCCCTCGAATCTTGGCCAGGACAATATCTTCATGGAGTGTGCATGTTCTTCCTGTGTTTGTGTGGGTTTCCTCCCACACTCCAAAGTCATGCTGGTATGTTACTTGACTCCTACCTAAACTGGCCCCATTATATATGTGTAAACATTGGGGCTGTATGCCAGTTTCAAGCAAAAGCAATTGGGAAGGGTTGAGGAAAGACTACTCTGCCGACTACCTACTCTGTAAACAATTTGCCAAGTAAATTCTATGAAAAAATGCTTTCAAGCATATCAGTCATGGTTCTTAGAAGCTGGTCCATAGAATCACCAGGAGTCAGAATCAACTGAAATGATATATACATATATAGGTACATACTGCTCTTTCAGGTTCTGGATGTAACATAGTATAGTTCCAACACTGGCTTTCCTGGTGAGAGCAAGCTCACTGAACATCACTGAACACACCTAATAAACCTTTAAAGGTTTACCATGAAATTACATTGGCATGGATGGGTTTAGTCCATCACACAGTGTAGATACATGGCAGGATAAGAGCTCAACTATGGGTTACATTTGAAGGCGAGGCCTCTAGTTGTAGCTATATATGTCACTCTTGAACATCTGTCCTATCAGCTGATTAGCAATAGACATGTAATTACAGCAATATAATAAATGGTGATGAGAACATATCTAAATCCAGTAACAAAAATGTAGTACACCAATCAGCCATAACTTTATGGTCACTAAGAGGTAAAGTCAATTACATTGATTATCTCATTACAATGGCATCTGAATGTCGGTGGGATACAATAGGAAGCTAGTGAACATGTTGTCCTTAAGGTGATGTGATGAAAGCAGAAAAAATAGGCAAGCTTAAGGATTTGAGTGATTTTGACAAGAGCCAAAATGTAATGACTAGATGACTGGGTCAAAGCAACTCCAAAACTGCAGGTCTTGTAGGATGTTCCCAGTTTGCAGTGATCAGGCTCTATTAAAAGTGATTCAAGTAAGGAAAACCAGTGAACCAGCGACAGGGTCATGGCCAGCCAAGGCTCACTGATTCACATAGGGAACAAAGGCTGGCCTGTGTAGACTGATCCAATACAAGAGCTAGCTCAAATTTCTGAAAAATGTCATGTTGGTTACAATAGAAAGGTGACAGAATACACAGTGCATCACAGTTTCTTGCATATGGGGCTGCATAGCTGCACACCAGTCATGGTGCCTATGCTGATCTGTTTTCACAGCCAAAGAATCCTACAATGGGAATGTGAGCTTCAGAACTGGACCACAGAGCAATGGAAGGTGGCCTGGTCTGATGAATCAGGTTTTCTTTTACATCATGTGGATGGCTGGGTGTGTGTGCGTTACTTACCTTTTTTAAGAGATGGCACCAGAATGCTCTATAAAAGGAGGCAGTATGATGCTTTGGGCAATGTTCTGCTGGGAAAGGTTGGTCCTGACATTTCCTTTGGATACTACTTTGACACGTACCACCTACCAAACATTGTTGTTATCCAAGTACTTACCTTCATTACTACTATTCCCTGATGCCAGGACCTCTCTCAGCTGGATAATGTACCCTGCCACACTGCAAAAATGGTTCAAGAATGGTTTGAGGAACACAACAATAAGTTTGAGGTGTTGACTTGACCTTCAAATTCTCCAGATCTCAATCAAATTGAGTATTTATGGAGTGTGCTAGAAAAGTCAAATCCATGGAGGCCTTACTTCACAACTTACAGGACTTAAAGGATCTGCTAGTGACATCTTGGTGCTAGATACCACAGCAACTATAGACATCTAGTGGAGTCTATGCCTTGATGGGTCAGGGCTGTTTTGGCAACAAAAGGGGGACCTATTCAATATTAGGTGGGAGGTCATAAAGGTATGACTGATTGTTGAATATTGCAGTTTACTAGTCCTTAGATTTGTTGGCTGCATTATTTTTTTTCTTTTTTACTTTCTTTTTGGCTGGTGATCCTGCCAATAAGATGCTTCCTGCCCTAAGGTCACAGAACTTACTTAGTGACTGGAGGAGAAGTATTATCACCATAGGACAGTAAGTCTGTTAGAACTTAAGAACACCTTTTGCAGGCACAGACCACATGCGCCAGGCTTGATCTCTCTTGTCTACTCTGCTATTATTGCTTATAGGACACCCCCGATTCGCTCTTATCATCAAACCGGGGGGTTGTCTAGATCAGCAAGACTGGCAGATCATGACTCAAGCATTGTCTAAATGTTCGAGCAATGTTATTATTTTAGAAAATGCCTATAAGGTCCTTTACAGATGGAAGCCCTATGAGCCTGCCTGGCTGGCTCGTTTTATCCCCTCATATTCTCTGACTTGCTTTCAGGGTTGTCAACAAATAGGCATCATGGCTCATATTTGGTGGACTTGCCCCAAGGTGTGCAGACTATGGATTAGGGTCCATGCCGTTCTCCACACTATGTTACACACAGATATTAAGCGCAACCCATACCAGGCACTATTATTTAAACCATTATTAGACCTACTTCGTCCTGAGCGGCAGCTGGTATCACATCTATTTATAGCTACCAAATTAACAATCGCAAGAGCTTGGAAAACCCCTCTTCTTAGCTTGGAGGAACCGGATGAATTTTATAATTTTTAATGAGAAGCTAACGGCCATGCTGTTACACACCCACCCAAAGTTTTTGCAGATCTGGTGCCCCTGGATTGATGTGGCCCAACCGTCTAGATTTGACCAGACCCTTCTGTAGATATAAGACTCTCCTGGCGCGATCCCCTGGAGCCCTTTCTTTGTATTTACTATCCTTGTTTCTCTCTTCTTTGCTTTTTTCTTTTTTTTATCTTTCTTTCCTCTGTTTTTGTTTGTCTTCATGCTATTTGCGCTGATTGTAATTCTCCTAGAGAATCGTACCTGCAATGTTTTATGTACAGTACCTGTCAGACTTTCTCGAGAGTCCCTGGTGTAGAGTACTGATGTGCGTCCAGTGGGGCTCTGTTCTCAGCTTTTCCTACCCTCTGTATGCGATTTTTGTGATTATCTCTGGCCTTCGCCTGCTAGCTCTTTGGTCATTACTTGTTTGCTATTAAAGCAGTTTATAAGGTTTCATTCCTTCCATTGTGTTTATGTACTCATTTTCTCTCCTTATCAATACTTCAGTGCATTTGTTGTGTCCTTCATCAGAAGAATTGTATACCTTATTCTTTTGTGTCAGTGATCTTGCTTTTGACTGTTTCTTTGTTGTTGTGTTGTCTATAATAAAATCCATTGTAAAAGAACCTAAGAACACCTACCTCTCTCCTCTTCTCTATAACATAAGAGGATGGTGTTTTGTAGTTTACAAGATTTCTGGCAGGACCAACAGGTATTTTTTATAGTTATCAAAAGGAATCTACAATACACTGGCATTTGCATTTAGCAGACCAAAAGGGAGAAAACAAAAGAAGTTTATTGTTGGGGGTTTACATGTGCTCTAAATTTACAACAGAGGATGGATTTACTAAAGGGAGCCTTTTATTGACCCAGAGGTAGAAACACGTTTAGAGCTAACCCAGATGAAATTAAATACAACAAAAGGTTTTAAAATGGTTAAGCAGGAAGAGTATAGATATTTTTTTAAATAAATTACTATGTTTCAGTGGTAAAACATTGAAAGCATACTGTGTTATTTCTTTTTAATCTGAAATATATTAAATTTGAATATTTGATACTTACCATATGCTGTCCACAAGGTATAGAGCGCTAGGCTGGAGTACAGCTAACTATAGCCTATTTTATTTAATTGGGCTTTAAAAACGACCTGAACAGTAGGAGGGATCAGATAACATGGAGTGTTGAATAACTTAGACGAGGGGCACATCCCTTTTTCTTCTTTATCCTGGCAGATATAGGACACCTTGCTCAGTCAGTTTTACATAGGCATCCAACAAGCATGGAAGTAATGCAAGTTCAGCATGTTTTCATGTTTTGTAAACTGAGTGCCATGGATGCACTCTATTGATAAAATGCTATAAAACACTAGTTTATAAATTTGTTAAATAGAGTTTATCAAGTTTATGTTTCACTACAACTGATGGAGACTTTTATACAATATGATTCTACTTTACCAGTAACCTGTACTTAACTATTATGATACTGTGTATTACTAGTATAATACAATTACCTTGCATTGCAGTAGGAGGTGATTAGACACAATGACAGCGTGTTTCTGATCATACCATATGTTATTAACATCTAAGTTTGTTTGCCAAAAGTAATGGACTTGCATTACTTAAAGTGTTACTAAACCCAGGACTCTGCATTCACTATATCTAGTCTCCCACAGTACACAGAGCATGGAAATGCAATTGTTGTAGTAAATATAAACCGCTAAATACCTTTTCTCATCAGGGGTATATAGCAGTCTTGTGACTTCTATCAATGTCCAGCTGAGCACTGGTTAATCTTGTAGGAGAAGTTTTCATTCTCTTCGGACTATCCTATGAGACTGCATAACCCCTGACCCTTTGTTTGGACAATGCGGATTGGACTGTGCTAGTCACATGCACCCCCCCCCAAAAAAAAAAAAACTCTCTAGCAATACACACTAAACTAAGCATGTGCAGAGTGATTCCTGGAGCTCTGTACTATCAGCAGATTGATTCGGGACAGTAGAAGAAGGGGAGGATCAGAGAAGACAGGATCAAACAGCCTTTTTACACAGTGCGCAAGATTAACCCCTTAGGTTCCACAGTGAGTATAACAGGCATGCTTTACTGCATATACAGACTGATTTTACTGTTGTGGGTTTAGTAACACTTTAACTGAGTCTGTAACTTATGACTCTGAGCCTGAATTGTTGGGTTAGAAATAGCCTGGGGGGGGGGGGGGGGGGCGGGGTTCTTATATATCAACTAAGGAGAGCATCAGACTCACAAGCAAGTCAAAATCAGATAACTTTCAGGTACTTCTAAGTTGCTGTGAATTCTGACTTGCTGCAGTTTACTGTTGCTTTTCTGTTTGAGTTGCTTTTGCATTGACAGTGACTTGTATTGGGAAAAAAAGCAGCTCAGGTGAGAACTTCTGTAGCCTTCACCTGTCATGGCAGCATGGCAAGTTGTCAGTTTAGGGGCCCATTCATATGTCTGCGCACTAAACCGCAACGGTTAGCGTGCGGGCAGCTGTCCACCCCGGCTGCAGTGATTCAGCGGTAGTGGGTGGTTTAATGTGTGTTTTGAGCGCATCACAATGTTCCCTTTTTTGTATGTCAGCTTACATAGTGACACTTCATTTATGTCACCGCACAGCAGTGAAGTGCATTACATTAATCTATGCAATAGATAGACTATTGCAAAAATGAAGCTTGGTTTTATAATGCTCTTCGATCTTCTCTCGCTCTTTAAAGAAGGCAGGTGTTAGACGCTGGAATACATAATAAATGGGCATGCACAATGTACAAATGTAATATTTTTGTGAAAGTGAAATGGACACATCTGTGTTCTCGGCTTCACTACAGCTGGAATAGATTTAAATATTTCCAGAGCTAAAGAGTATAAAGAGTCCAATAAGGTTTTTACATGAATGAAAGTTTTACTCCTGCTTACAGAAACAAAGAAAGCATATCTAGATGAATCAGCCTTCCATTTAATCTGTCACCATGGACATTAGAAAGTCAGTTCATACTGTACCATACTCCAACTTTGTTTGATGCCGTTGTGTACACTGTATTTCTATTTTTTCTTTCAGAGGGACGTTCACTGGCAGGAATGCTAAGCTGTAAGTACACAGAGACATCTGCTGCCCTTCACCATAATACACAGGAGTTGCTTGAGGGGGTTGTCAGACAGATTCGCCTACGAAAAGATGAGGGACAACACAATCCCCAGCCAGCCACCCTCCTACCACCAGGTCGCAGAGAGAGTCTGACCAAAAGAGCAAGGCGACTTTTGCAGGGGATTATGGGAAAAACATAAAGGTTTCTTCAAGCAGAGATCAAAATCATGCCATGACCTTTCTGTCCTGTGACTAGTGAACTATCTTGTCCATGTGCCATAAGGAAGTTGGACTGGCCACATGACCTTGTGCCTGCCACAGAACTCCAAAAACCTTTAACTATATTATATGGAACCATAATGACAGAACATGGGCTGCATAAACTGATATTTCTGTGAACCCCAATCCAAGACAAAATAACAGCAACACATTAAGAAAACGTAGAGATGAAGCACACTACCTGGTATAACACTAATGAAAAATATTGTATAAAATCTCCAAAGGTGAATATACTGTATGTTTACCAAGACTGTAATGATATGTCCACAAGCATAGAAGTTAGGGATACTTGTGTCCCAAAGGAGGGCTTAAAGCGGAACTATGGCCAAATCAAATTGACATATATATGATGTAATCTGTCAAAGGCACAGCAGTTTTTTATTTTTTATAAGTCCAAAATGCAACATAATTTTATTAACTATGATCCAGCCAGTAAGTCTGTTATTTTTTTTAACATGCTTTAACAGGCCAAGCTGTCCAGTAAAAGTTAGAGGTTTAAAGTGATTCTAAAGGTTTTGGTTTTTTTTTTTAAAGAAAAAATAACAAATATATCTATACTTAACTGCTGTGTGCAGTGGTTTTGCACAGAGAAGCCTGGATCCTCCTCTTCTCGGGTCCCCCGCAGGCTCTCCTGGCACCTCCCTCCTGTTGGGTGCCCCCACAGCAAGCAGCTTGCTATGGGGGCAGCCACTGCTCCGTGTGTCCATTTACACATGGAGCTGTGGCTCAGCTCTACCCCCTCTCTCTTCTCATTGGCTCACTGGCTGTGATTGACAGCAGTGGGAGCCAATGGCTCCAGCTTCTGTCTCAGCCACTAAGAAGAGGGAGTCCTGCGATAGTCGAGACTCCAGTGCACATCGCTGGATCGAGAGGGGGCTTAGGTGAGTATTAGGGGGGCAGGGGGAGCTGCTGCACACAGAAGGTTTTTTACTTTCATGCATAGAATTCATGTAGATAAAAAATCTTGAGCCTCTAGAACCACTTTAAGACAAACCATTTACTACTGACTGGGGTGCTTACAATGGTCAGCTTTTATCACTTTATTGATAACCTTGATCCCAAAATCAAAAACTAAACTTTAGCTACCTAAAAAAAAGTGTTAGCTGGAATTGGGATTTAATTTGTTAGTCATTTATCTAAAGTCCATTTAAATGTACTAGTTCATCTAAAACTACACTCTTCGCAGGCTGACAGTGTAGCTATTGCGCTTTTCCATAAATACATCAGAGGACTGAATATAGCCATCCTAACACAGGCAGTGTGTTAATGTTTGGATCATCAGATGAAAATAATGGAAAAAAAGAAAACAAATGCAGCCACCACACATGAGAATTGGTTAGATACAATATACATATACTGTATTTTGTTTTTAGTCTTAGATTCACTTTACGTGGAGTTAACAAATAATGCCATTACATAAGGGAAGGTCCTTGATAATGTTCTTCATGTATATGCTACAGTTATATATGAACGTATATGTCCTGCACAAATAACATATTTTCTGATATCTAGTCAACCATATTTTGAGATCACAGAGAAAAAAAACCTAAATATGTATTGCTTTTGTATATGCTACTGGGTACACAAGGCAGCAACTTGGCTGTTTCTTTAGTGGTGATTGGTTTTTTTATGGCCCAAGTTGCTAGCTCAGCACTCATCCTACTGCTTTCTAAATAAAGCTGGTCATATACCAAGTGAATTTCAGCAGGGTTTATATGGATGGTCCTATCAGCATCCTCCCTCCATCCTTGCATCTGAAAACCTAAGGAACCAGGTGGAAAATGGCCGGCTGAACAGCAGCTGTATTCAATCAGGTGCAGCCACTGTTTAGGTATTCTGACAGTGCTGTCAGAATACAATAGCCATCAGGAGAGATTTGTCCTTCCACGCTGTTTAGCATGGATGGGGAAATCAGAGATATCCCTCGTTTGGCCTGCATGAGAGGCATCTTACAGTGTATGGCCAGTTTATGGGCTTCAGACCAGCTGTAATGGAGTAGGAAATTCAGATTTGCTCAGATCGACGTTAACCCACCATGTTTTGGGGTTTTGTGAAGAAAACAACAAGTAAGACATACAAACTTCATGCCGCATCCCAGATGGAAAATGAATCAAGGACCAAGAGCAGAGGGTTAAAGTGATTCTAAAAGATTACATAGCAAACATGTCTTTACTTACCTGCTGTGAGATTTTGCACAGAGCAGCCCAGATCCTACTCTTCTCTGGCCCCCCACCAGTGCTCCTGGCCCCTCCCTCCTGTCGGGTGCCCCCACAGCAAGCAGCTTGCTATGGGGGCACCTGCTCCTCCATGTGTTCATTCACACACGGAGCCGTAGGTTAGCCCCGCCCCCTCTCTTCTCATTGGCTGTGATTGACAGCATTGGGAGTTTCTTTCTCAATGAGAAATGAGGGAGTGCCAGGATAACCGAGACTCCAGTGCACATTGCTGGATCGAGAATGGGGGCTTAGATGAGTATTAGGGGGGATTCTGCACAGAGAAGGTTTTTTACCTTCATACATAGACTGCTTGAAGGTAAAAAAACCTTGAGCCTTTAGAACCACTTTAAACACTCAGCCAAGACTTTTCCCAGAAGAATTTGTAGCTTGACTTTTGTAAGGCAGTTTTGTTTGGCCAACTGTCATGTGTCTAACACGTATTATAAACTAGCAGATATATCTTTATAATAAAAAAGAAAAGCAAAATCACTAATTAAAGTGCATCTGCAGCATCTTATAATACTCCGCTCAATGATCCGTAAAAAACAGGTGCTGTATGATGGATACATAGCCAGGAGAGAGATCAACTTGCCATTAGAATTGTGCACCATTGCTGTTGTCCTGCTCCCTTTCTTACAAGTTAGGTCCCCACTTTGGCAAAGACGTTAACTTATCAGGAATGAGCCATGAATCAGTAACGGTCTGGATATGGTAGTGTTACACACAGATCATGTGGCCAGTGCTGGGCTTTTTCATATTCCATGGGCTTCAACCAGATGCCTTTCAAGCAACCACCAGCTCATACCTATTTATTGCTCTATTACTGCATTCTGCCCACATTTCAGTCATTGCACCAGACACAACATAAACTCACAGAACATGACTCATAATGCTTACATAGAATGGTTTGGCAGCGGGATAGAAAGGATGGTGTTGTGCAGTCACACAAAAGTGGCGCCATTTAGCTTTCTACATTTGGAGAACAATATAAACTAAACATAAAAGAAATGACAGACAACAGCAACCACTGTCATTAGTCTTGTATGATTCAATACTTCCAAGATCTAACAACGTCATCTGGGTTACGAGTGAAAAGAGGACTGGAGGGATGGCTGTTTTTTGGCTATGCTGAAAATCTGAACAGTTTGGTGTGTCAAGGTGTGTATTAGCATGCCCTCAAAATGAAGGTAATGTAATGTTAAAGCAACAAATAAACACATTTCACATCAGCAAGTGTGTGTGAAAGAAATGCTTTACCGGAGAGATGTAAGAGATTCTGTATAAACTGACAGGACTTAACTATCTGAATATACAAAATGTAAGATGGATTATATTTATGGCTTTTCTTCACCCACCTCCCTGTCACCCTGTCTTCATACTACCTTTCCTCTGAGTATACCTTACTCCTACCCCCTCCCCAAAGCAATTTTCCTGTCTTCCAACCTTAAAAGGAGAAATTCATCCGAACAGGCTTTGTTACCATGGAGACTACAAACCAACTATATTCCATAGTTCCCCCTGTATCTGGGGGAGACGTTGCCATGGAGACTCATACACGGCACCCCATACCACAGGGAAGGCTATTGTGATAAGAGTGAGAGGAACACAAATAACCAAATTACTCTGTAAGCAGTCATCTCAAGGCCTTGTGTTGCTGGCTCATGTACGCTGTCAGATTATGCTGCAAGAAAGGCACTGAAGCTTTTTCTGGAAGAACACAGAATCAAGGATCGGTTAGAAAGCATCTAAGAAGTAGTGCCATATGTTTACTGATAGCAAATACATCCTATACAATGTCTTTTTTCCGTGAATATATTAAAGGGGAACTAAAGTTCTGCTGTAAAAAAACAGCAAGCAGACAAGCTTTTTGCAGAAGAGACATACAATATGTGTTCTGTAATAAAATGCCCCTACCTGCTTGCTGTCTTCTCCAACGCTGTAAGCTGAACTGTGCATCTGCAGCTCAGCTTACAGCACCGTGCCAGTCTGACTGGCTCCTCCGCATGCGCAGGAATGATGTCATCAATAAAGAGGTCCGAAGACCAGCACTGAGAAAATGTTGGTGAGAGACCATTGAACAGTTGTTTATTTATTGCCAATACTTATATAGCGCCATCAATTTCCGCAGCGCTTTTACATATACAGTCATGGCCGAAATTGTTGGCACCCTTGATATTTCTCCAGGAAATCATGTATTTCTCACGAAACGTATTGCATTAACACATGTTTTGCTATACACATGTTTATTCCCTTTGTGTGTATTGGGACAAAACAAAAAAAGGGAGGAAAGAAAGCAAATTCGACATAATGTCACACAAACCTCCAAAAATGGGCTGGACAAAAGTATTGGCACCCTTTCACAACTGCGGATAAATAAGAATGTTACAAGCATGTGATGCTCCTGTAAACTCACCTGGGGCAAGTAACAGGTGTGGGCAATATAGAAATCACACCTGAAAGCAGATAAAAAGGAGAGACGTTCACTTAACCTTTGCATTGTGTGTCTGTCTGTGCCACACTAAGCATGGACAACAGAAAGAGGAGACGAGAACTGTCTGAGGACCTGAGAACCAAAATGTGGCAAAATATCAACAATCTCAAGGTTACAAGTCCATCTCCAGAGAACTAGATTTTTGCCTTTGTCCACAGTGCGCAACATTATCAAGAAGTTTGCAACCCATGGCACTGTAGCTAATCTCCCTGGTCGTGGACGGATGAGGAAAATTGATGAAAGATTGCAACGCAGAATAGTCCGGA